TATATATATATATATATGTTTCATAAAGTCAAACACTTTTCGTCTCGTGTCTTTCTCCTCCAATGTTCTCTGTGAATAAAAAAAATTTACGAGCTACCACTCCTCCACTATTAAATCGTTCAATTCGCATTTATAATCCTTCATCTTTGCCTCGAAATATTTAATTATATCACTTAGCTCTCGATAGTCTTCTTTTCTTATATACACCTTGTACGATCAATTTCATTTCATAATTATCTTCAATATTAAGCATCTGCTCTTACAAATGACAAACACGCTATTTAAGAAAAAAGAAATCGTAACTCTTCCAACTTGGTTTACATCGGAGCGACAGAGAACATTTCGAACATCGTGGCTCAAGTATCAATAATTTCTACGACGCGACTCGAGATCGCAACCTTCCTTCTCTCTTTTCCCCTCGTCTTCACGCGGCGAAAAAAAAGAGGGGGGAGGCCATCTGGCACCTGTTGCCACGATCGTAAAAAGAAGGGAAGATCTCTTCCTTCTCTTCTCTTCTCTTCTTTCTCTTCTCTTCTCTTCTCTTCGGTTCGACAAGCGCCACGTATTTCTATTTCCACGCGATAAATTTCATTTACGCCAGGTTCGGTGTATATATATATATATATATATATATGTATATATATGAAATAGTCGCGGAATTTTAACGAACCGTTAATTTGGTTGGCGGAGGTGATTTAGTAGGATTTAACACATTGAGTTTTTTAGTGGCAATTCCGCGAGCGGAGGAAATGCTTATCATTCGTCCTAACGAATGGGGGCCACGCCTTTACAACGTTAAATTACCGTCACCCGTGTGTCGTAATTAAAGTATTTCGCTCCGTTATAAAATGATTTAATATCAAGCGGGCGATATTTGTTCATAAATTGTTGCCGGTAATTATAATACGAACGTGGATGGAATTATTATTATTATTATTCTTTTTTTTTCTTTTTTTAACGTTCCTCGAGATCAAAGGACAAGGACTAGGAAAGATTTTTTTTCCGGGCAAAATTTTTTTCGTCGAAAATATGATTCAAATGTCGCTCGATTTCGTATATTTTTATCGATCGATTTTTATCGATGGATTAAAAACTTGTCATCGCTTCGTGTTATCATTATTTTAAAGAGGATGAGAATTCGCGGACATCCTCGAATTATTATCGAGATTATTATCGAGAGGATTATTATCAGGATCAAATCAGGGACGCGGTTGTTGCACGGTTTAATGGGGAAACCGTTTTGCGTTAAGTGATGCTTCGTAAGGAGGATGCATAAATATATAGGGGGCGATGAATTATATACGTTGAAACGTCAAGTTTAACATTCGAGGATGGGAGCAAATTTACCGACATCCTTCGATTATCGTTATCGAACGATAAACAAGGGATGAGATTATTGGGAATCGGACAACGATTTCCATATAGTTGTAAAATGCTACTCTACGATTTTTCTTTAAGAGAGGAAGGGAGGAAAAAAGAGAGGAAAGTAGCGGGAAGAGCTCGATGTTTTTCTCCAATTATTATTATGATAAGAGAACACGTTGGAGGAAGAAAAAGAGATCGATATCTTAATTAACAGCTTTGTAACAAATATATCGCCATTCTGCTTCGATTAATATACACGGTAAACGAAAGAAATCACAAAAATGGAAAGAAAAATCTTATTATCTTCGATCTCTGATTAAAAGAAAAATTATTTTCATTCTCTTCCAACAACTGCTAACCAATTAACCGAATTATCTCTCGATCGAAATCGCAATTCGTACTTACGCGGATCCCTGGTTCCGATTAAAACCACAGAAGAAAGATTAACGCTGGACCGCCAATTATTAACCTTTAAGCGCGAGAAGAAGAAAGAGGCGAAAGTCGATTAGAAACCTGACTCGATTAACGCATTGCGATTCAATTAATCGTGCATTCGTGCACGAATGAAAACGATGACGAATGGATATTATCGCCTCTTATTAGATAAACCGTCCTGTGTTTTTAAAAATACGAATCAACGCGGTTAACTTTGCCGGTTTTCTCCCCCTTTTTTCTCATAGAGATGCATCGACGCGACGGAATACCTGTAAATATTTAATCGAAAGTGATTGGATAATTTTGGCGTATATTGGCATTGATTCGATATCATAGATGGTGAAATTTATCGTCGATGGTATGCAGTTTTGATATATTTCGTTTTTGTTTTATTGCATCCGATTTATTGTTGGCTTCGTGTTTAAATAAAGAATTATTAACTTTATATTTTGCTTATTTTGACGTTGTCCATTTTCTTCGTGCAATAAATTCTTTTTCGTATTGGTTTAATTGTTTTTTGAGAAGCGAATACGAATTTAGAATATTATTAATTGTACGAGTTTAACGAAATATTAGATTAGCTTTCGGAGAAGATTCTATCGATGAGAGGACTATTAATAAATCGAAAGTTAAAATGGAAGCAGAGTTGGACGTATCTCCAATAACAGTTTTCAAACATTTGAGTGCAATGGATAAAGTGAAAAAAATTGGAAAAGCGCGCCATCATAACATTAGAGTTATTTTTAAAAAATAAAATATTCGAGAAGATGTAATCGAAGAAAATTTGGAATCTCAAAGGTCATTAAAGCTTAAAAAATGGCTCATATCTTGATCGAATAAAAATTATAGTTTCGATAATAAATCAACAAAAACAGCAATAATCTCGCATGATACGAGAATAATATTATTAAATTATTATTCTATAATTATCGAACGATTCACCTCTGTAATACGTATATGATATTTGTAGAACGAAAAAATAATGGAATATTGTTTATCTACGAATCCACTACTCTCCGAATCAAGAGAGAGAATAAGAAATCAATCGTGCACAAAATCCACGGGAAAGAAAAAGTTTGTAACGACGTCGACGCGTTCGCGCCAATGGAACGGTTTAAAACCACCTCACGGGAACGTGGTTGCAACGACAAAAAACTTTAACGACCGTCGCTAAAGCATCGTCTGAATGGCCGAGCGCACCTTACATTGATGGCCATTAGCCACCGACCGCGAAACCGATTCCAAATCGAATCTCCTCCATCGATGTATATATATATATATATATATATGTATGTATGTATGTGTCGATCCTTTTCGCGGATTTCACCTTTCAAACGACTTCATTCGCTACCAGGTAGAATGGACTTCTTCCATTTGCAACAACGTCGAGAAGAATTATTATTCCTGTTTTGTAATCCTGACTCTTCAAATATGGATTCTGAAATAATTGTTGAACATTTATCGAGACTTTACTACGTAAAGAGTAAATAGACTCGTTGCGGTAAACGTTATGAGCCACTTTTTCTTCTTCTACTAAATGTGGCTCGAACGAATTCCCGCAAAAGGGAGACACGTGACGTTATATGTATACGTTATCCCCACTTCTATCGCCACGTTTGAATTAGAAGTACGTCACGTGACTATGCGACGTAGCAATAGCTAGTGCGAATAGCGTGCGACGAATCATGTATTTTTTCGACGAAGAAAATCGATCGAGGACTTTATCTTCGAAAATTACTCTTCGAGGACAAAGAGTTTTGCGTTTAATTAATCTTAATGGGGTATCGGATGTTGATTAAAATTCCTTCGCTTGCCAAGTAGAATTAAAAAACTCGGTACGGGAAAGATTTAGCAACAGCGTCTTAACGAGGATGGTTTCAACGATGTTTTCCAACGATGATTATCGTTTTTAATTAATAACTTTACCACTTACTTACTTACTTTAATTATAATTGCATTGCTACACTCTCTACAAGGTTGCTGTTGATCGTATCGAATTGATCAATTCCTTACGCGGAACGTCGCGAGTTACTCGAATATTTCATGAAACGAGTGGGAACGAGTCAGATTCAAAATCTAGAAAAAGAAGAAAAAACACTTTATCCTCTTAAATGGCAACGCAGCCGTGAGTCGGTGTACGAATCGTCAATCAACCACGATAAAATCACCATGTAGCCAGAGATAATCGCGAAAATCATCTCACGAAACGGTTTCCATAAGCGACAAAGTGGATATTCGATTATTATTATCGATGCTCCCGATCCCGTGCAGATTTCTAATTTATCGATCCACGCCGCGCCAGCCCGGCTAATTAATGTCCACCAACGGCTATTCTCGAATCCTCCCCCCCTCCTCCATTTCCCCCTCCTCTACCTCCTCGAGCACGAGCTTCGAGTGAGACTAGTTAGCGGTAAATACAGGTCCATTATAAGGGCAATTAATGAGGGGCCGTGCGGCATTAATTGCAATCGCAAAATCCCAATGGAGAGAGAGTCCTTCGAGGATTGTTTGTGCTCGCGTTACGTGTCACGGCAGAACGTTTAAAGGAGAGTCGCGTGCACGACATATCGTCAAAGAGATTTTTCAACAGCCGAGGGCGCTGCTTGTCCATATTTGTGTCCCGTTAACTGTGAAGCAGGAGGCTCGTCGTAATGTTTCGAACAACTCGTGTTAAATAAGTCGTTACTTTTGACGAGTAAAAATTGTTGGTGAAAAATTTCAAGCGAGTAAAATAACGGTTGGAATGTTTGTGTACATTTTCGCGCAATATCGAGTAGTGGAAGTAACTGGTTCGTGAAAGCTAACAGTTAACAGTTCATAAAGTTGCGGACAGAAAATGTTTAAATGTCTCGACGGGGGAAATGTTAAATTATCGTTTGAACACGCGAGAGGTCGGAAACGAAATAGAAATACCTTCGTTTCAACCAGATCTTAAAGATATTAAGGAAATAGGCGAATTAATTTCCAATTTGAAATATCGATACCAATTGACATTTATCGCTTTACGGGATAATAAGCAGTACGAAATAGACTATATTAAAATTAATTTTACGACCGACGTATGATTAATCGATTAATTTTAAACTATCTTGTATTATATTATGCGTGCATTTCTATCATTATTCGTTTATTATATTTATTATATTTATTATATTTTGAAGGAATAAGCAATAATAATATTCCTAATATACTTCTTACAGTATAGGATTGCAACCATAATTTCTTTTTTCAATAAGTCATTTCTTTAAAATAATTCCATTTCCAGTTCTCAAGCTTCGGTTTATCCTACGTTTGTCAAATTCAAAGCGCTTTTTAAGTTAATTGCTACAACTTTTTTGCTACTGCTTTTTTGCCAGATTTTTTACTTTAAATCACAAATATACATTCATATATTTATATATTATTTTATATACTTACTCATATTTTTACATATATATATATATGCATTTTTAATGAAACGATAAATTATAATAAAAAACAATATTGTTTTTCCAATAATTTCTAATCCAGTTAACTCTTATTCGAATCACTATCGCGATATAACGATCCAAGAATCTAATAATCGATCCCATAAATTATTCGTTTCGAGAAATCGACTTCATCGGCGAAAAGTTGGAAGAGGGAAACAACCCTATTTTTGGCCGCTTATTTGCGAGGCACGGGTGCGAACGAACGAACGAACGAACATGGAAAGCGTGGGCGGGACGAGGCTGAGCCCCTTGAAAAAAAGTGGCCGACAGCTTTTTCGCGCGCCGACAAGATCGTTATCGTTATCACGATCTCGATCACGGTAGCCGG